TCCCCCTTCTGCCCCAGTTTCCAATATTTTCTACATTTGTGGATGGTTTTATTACCACAAGGGGAGATAAACTGGCCCAATGATTCAAGCGCTGAGCTCTGTTTTAACCCCTTCACTCTCAAGATTTCATTAATAATTCTCCTTACCATCTGCCATACAATTTTTATAAGGTTAGTTTGGAGAATTTGGTATTGGATCAACTAATTACTCTAATTGATATTTTTTCTTGATTCTCATAACTTGTCTGATTGATATTGTATCATTATACACCGAATGCAAACATCGCATCAAATTTGAATTGCCATTGTTCTGGACTGACTAGCCTCTCACACATGTAATAATCCTTTTGTATTTCAAATCGGATGCCATATTTGCGTTCGGTGTATTGTAAGGTGAAATTCTATCTTGCATGGTCACTGATGGGAGTGAAAAGGTCAAAAGATCCAGGTTACAGAGCCAGGATGGCATATTTTTTTGTGTGTTCTTGAGCAAGAATTTGACTGTCACATACCACAGCTTCTCTCTGCCCAGAAGTGCCAAAGGGTACAGAAACTGATATAAGCTGCAGCCTTTACCCTATTGCTACATTTTTTTGAGAGCCAGGAAAGAAAGCCAACTGTGTTTGCAGCACATTAAATCCAAGAGAATCATTTGTGTTTTCTTTGTTTCGACTGTCTTCTACTGCCAACTTTATAAGGTACTAACTTTAAAATTGTGCTCAACAAATTACATTTTCTTGCCTGGGCCAAAGCAGGCAATCTTGAGTGGGTTCGATGGGTCCATCTTGCCCGCTTTGGTAGGCAATCGGAGCACAGGATTCACTTTATATTGCCCACGGTCTCTGTCGGCTATATAATAAGAATATGTGGGCAAGATGAGGCGAATCCTGTGTTCTGATTGGCTACCCGAGTGGGTAAGATAGGCCCATCTTGCCCGCTCAGGATTGCCCCCATTGATCCCGCGCATGAAAAAAAATAGAATTAGAACTACGTTCATAAATCTTGGACAATTTTGGCCATGGAAACGCAAAAAGCAGCAGAAGATAGTCAAAACAAAGAAAATAGAAACGACTCTCGTGAATTTGTTGTGCTGCAAACAGTTGGCTTTCTTTCCCGGCTCTCGAAGTAAACAAGTCATTTCTTAATTCCTAAAAAAGCCAAATGTTTCTGCAATATAAGAACTCCTTTATTAACCAAGCTTGTTTGGTCAGGACGGCTGGATATTAGCCTCGTTCTTTTTTCGCATTTTTATGGACCTCAACTTCGTCTCGGTCCGTACAAATGCAAAAAATAAGAACTCGGCCAATATCCAGTCATCTTGACCTTACACTTGGTTAGTAATGCATATGTAAAGAGGTAATACGATGGAGTCTCTTAAATTGCTGCAAGATCTTCGCATGATGGGGAAAATGATTAATGTATTAAAGGTTAACTTAGAGGCAGGTATACTAAAAAGGCAATTTTGGACTTTTGCTACTTTACATATACATCAATTCTGGTGTCCACAGGATGACTATCTGGACTGCTATGGGGACCCTGCGGTTACAGGAAAAGTAGGCACAGATATTGAAGAAAAGAAATGTTCTTGGCTGATTATTCAAGCTCTTCAAAGAATATCTACAGACCAGGTGCAAATTTTGAAGGTATAAGAGCTAGTAATCAAAATGTGTATCGTTAGTAACCAATATGTATGTATATATAAATAGGGAGTCTGTGTTTCGATTTTTCCGTATAACAGTACTCGGTACATAAAAGTAGAGCGCAATATATGTTGAGTAGAAAAATACGACGACTACGTTTTCATCCCTACAAGCCTGTTTCGTGATTGCTCACTC